GGGAAGCTTGGTGGCAGTTCCTGCCAGGGTGCACAACCGAACAGGAAACAAGCAAAGCCCTTGTGAGAGTGAATTTTACTTGCACCGTGTCGACGACGACGTCGCTCAGTCGGTGGTGGATGCTGCCTTCACTTTGATGCGAAATTTTGCAGGAACTGTTAAGCTGTAGGTGCCACACTTTTGCCGCCGAGAGTATGTCTGAGTTCGGGTTGAGTTGGTTTTTGTCTTGCTTGAAAATGTGGCGGAAGCTTGTTCACCTTGTTCATGCTTGTTGGGTGCGTTTTGTGGGTCGGTACCTATCTGGTTGTCGGTAGGAAAAACCGGCGAGATCAAACAGTTTTTTGCTTGCTGGAATGGAAAATCGTTTGTTGATAATGAGAAAGAGTTTGCAAGCTATTTAAACGATGAGATATACCATAGAAAATATGAGAGCCGAATCTGTTTTTGATTTTTGACATTAGCTTCAAATGTTTTTGATGTCATCTTCTTGTTCATGACTGTTACGTCCAGGCCTGTCATGGGGGCTACTCACGGTTACTCAATTCAAAACCAGCTTCGAAGACCGTTTTTGTTATCCCTTCTTACAAAGAAGGGATACCCCATTGAAATCCGACTTATGTCTGTATGTGTGTGTGTGTGTGTAATATCAGTAACAACTGAACCAAATTGGACTTAACAATCGTCAAATGAATGGTACCATGGTTCCATATAACCAATCAGGCTAAGGCCTTGTTGTCTTCTGCTGTCCGATTAAATCTTCTCCTCTCTATTCGATCCATAGCCAAACGTCACCAGCCTCGTAGTCTGCGAAGGGTCGATCCACCTTGCCCGCTGCGTGCCTCTTCGCTTTCGAGAACCATTTTCACTGGGTCGTCGTGCGGCATTCTTACGACGTGCCCAGCCCACCGTAGTCGTCTAATTTTTGCAATGTGAACGATGGATGGTTCTCCCAGCAGCTTGAACCTTGACAGCCCTACCAAAGATCTCATTAGACTCCGTAACACCATTTGTAGGCAGTACCAGCGTACTGGCCTGCCTAACTAGAAGACCAATTGTAATCGATTAACAAAGATCATTCAGGCCAGGATGGTGGATCTCAGAAACAACGATTTTGCTAGTAAGATCCGCTCTCTCCCAGATTGTGCTAAGCCCTTATGGAAACTTACAAAAAATCTTAAAAACAAGCCTAGGCCCATTCCACCACTGACCCCACTGCATCGTCCCGGTGACCCAGTGGTTCATCTGATAACTCCTGAAGAGAAGGCTGCCGCGATAGGTCAACACTTCGTCAGCTCCCATAATCTCGGACAAAACAACATGAATCTGAGGTTGCTGAAAATGCAACCAATGTTTATCAGATTCCTAACATTTTTCCAGAGGAATCCGAGATTATGGCTGACGAACTGTTGGCCTATATCAAATCATCTAAAAACATGAAGGCCCCAGGTTTCGACAACATCCTGAATCTGGAACTCAAACACTTGAGTTCCAGATTCTACAACCATCTGGCACTGATTTTTAATTAGTGCCTCAGACTTGGCTACTTCCCCTCGTGTTGGAAGTCAGCTAAAGTCATACCCATTCGGAAACCTGGGAAGGATCCGTCTTCTCCTTCAAGTTATCGACAAATCAGCCTTCTCTCAGGGTTATCAAAACTGTTCGAAAGAGCACTGTACCACCGGCTCCTAACATCTGCCGATGAAAACAATTTGTTACTCGAGGAACAGTTTGGTTTTCGGAAAGGTCGTTCGACCGTCCACCAGCTGACTCGAGTAACAAACATTCTCATACGGAACAAGTCTGTTTCGAAAACATCTGCCGCCGCGTTGTTGGACGTTGAAAAGGCGTTCGACAATGTCTGGCATGATGCTCTGGTGTTCAAATTGAAGCAGTACGGTCTTCCAATCTTCCTAGTGAAGATAATAAACAACTATCTATCAGACAGGACGTTACGAGTCTCTCTGAATGGCATCACATCGGATGCTTTCAACATCGGTGCCGGGGTTCCACAAGGAAGCATCCTTGGCCCCATCCTATTCAATCTGTTCACCTCCGATATGCCGGCTCTCCCTGATGGTGGATCGCTGTCTCTGTTCGCAGATGACACATCCATCGTCTACAAGGGTAGGGTCATCGGAGCTCTGACTGTCAAACTTCAGAAAGGCCTGGACGTCCTGTCTGAATATTTCAACAGCTGGAAGATCCGTATCAACACGGCAAAGACCCAGGTCATTATCTTTCCACACTCTAAATATTTTTTTTTTCCTTTGGTTTGTTTTTTCCGTCGATCTTGTTTTCCGTGCTGAGCACCAATGCTACCGACGTGCCAGGAAGGCAGCTCCCACACCTGGACCCTACCTATCGACCCATCAACTCATGAACCGGGGACCAACGGCTTTACTTCCCATCCGAAGGAAGGCGTGATCAGAGATGTTAAGCCTCAGAACATCCCGGCGGCACCGACTGGGCACTCTAAATCTCCCAGACTTGTTCCGTCGGAGAATAATAAGATCTGCCTGAACGGCACAGCTGTGGAATGGTCCAAAGAGGTCGTATACCTCGGGCTAACACTAGACAGCAAGCTTCTTTTCAGGGAGCACGTTGACAAAACGAAAACTAAGATAAGATCGTTGTATCCACTTATCAACAGGAAGTCAACCATGTCCCTGAAAAATAAGCTTGCTGTCTACAAACAAATCATCCTTCCAGTAATCGAGTACGGTATGCCAATCTGGGAGAGTTGCGCAAAATGCCATCACCTTAAACTCCAAAGGATCCAGAACAAGATCCTTAGGATGGTCCTAAACAATCCCCCGCGGACTAGAAATTCTGAGATCCACCTCCTGGCTGGAATTCAGACATTAGAAGAACGGAGAGCATTCATCCTGGAAAACTTCAGAGTCACCTGTCTGAGATCAAATCATCAGATCATACGTGATCTAGCACGTTAGGTTAAGTTATACTCGTAGTTAGGTAGGTTATCACTTTTTTTAATTCAAATAAAACAAATCCCCAAAGGGGTATTCTGTAAACTAGTTGAAAAACGCATATATTAAATTAGAAAATCAAATTAAACTAAGATGAAGAGCCAGATAGGCTAATCAATTAATATGATAAACCAATGTACTATGTACGATAATCAACAGAAATAAACATAATTTTACTACTACTACTCAAGCATGGGAAAATCGTTCCATTTTGCATTCACTACTCACTCACACACATACAACATCAGAAACGAATAGCAGCTTGTGCGAGCCGCACTGATTTCGTTCGTATTCGCATTGCTTCTATTTTCTTCGATGAACTTTGAATTGAGCAAAACAGACAGCTGAGCGTAACATGAATGATTCTGAGTGTAGTAGTGTGGATGATTCCTCTCTTATTATTTTTTTTTCCATGCTGAGCCTTTTACGATTGCATTCTGCTGAGTGAGCTGAATGAGAATTTTGCAGAAAGAATCACTTTTTATTTTCTAGCTTTAAACATACATTAACACGTTTAAATCGCTATTAATATCGAGAAAACTTTTATACTGTAACACATAAAAATAAGCGTCACGCAAATAACATAAAACTGCTGTGGTCAATTCAACTGATTTAAATAAGTGAGCCAAAAAGTATCTGACTCATCTATTTAAATCGTTAGCATTCGGATTTTACGCATTCAATCTGGTTCTCTCTCGCTAGAGAAAATTGTTCGGCTACCTTTCAGTTTATCCTTCTTTCCTTCTACGGCTGTCAGTTCTGAGTCGAGTTGCAAAGTCACTTGGTTGGAAGAATTTACACTAGTTCGGCAATCTGTTTGTAGGTGAGGATGGCTATTTTGATTCTGTGGTGCTCGCGCGAGTGAATGAATTTCCTCATGCTTGCTACTACTCCCAGCAGCTGGTGCAATTCGTGGTTCATTCGCCTCCTCCATGTTCCTTCATCCATCTGCACTCCACCCTAGATAGTTCCACTTTTTGCCCATCTAGAACCCCTCGTCTTTCCCGTTGTCAGTGTCCAATCCATATTTTTGTTTGTGCCTCTTTCGACATTCCCATGTAAATAGGCGGAGCCTATTCTGTATAATCCTCACGCACGACAGAGAAGGTGTTAGTATATAAGTGAACGTCAAAGGGCGCAGTATTATTAGTAGTATTTTAGTCGTCTTACGATAAAAGTCAAGAAAATAAACATTGTTACACAGAGAAGCCGAATTTTTCATTTCTCCACTAAAGGGAGCATCATTCCGATCCTATCCACTGCGGAACTGAAGCATCTGATCGCTGCTGTTGCTGAACCTGTTGCCGAACAGTCCACCCGTCCCGTTGCTCATCGGAGCAGCACCCAAGGAAGCAATTAGTGTTGATTCCTTCGATTCGGTCCACAATTAGATCCCTCCCGTGGTAGTCTAATGTGGATACCGTTTTGACTGCACACGGATCACCTATTGCTTAACTGTAATCAAATACCCGCTGCTGGAGCACCAACTAGAGAATCCAACAATCTCTGGCCTGTTGGTTGTTATCCAGTGGCAATTTTTGATTATTCCCCGAAGGGAGTTCCATTCCGGAGATTTTTACGTTGCCATGTGCGGTGCGGTACGTTGCGTTGTGCGGTGCCATTGTTTGGTCCTTCGAACCGGATTCAGCATCGGTGCTTTGCAGTTGCAGTTGGATAATTTAGTAGCTCTAGTGGAGAAACCATCCATCACCATCGTTCGCGTTCCGAAGGTACAGTTCGCGCGAGTGAAGTGAAAATATTGAAGCACGTCCAAACGAGTTTTAGAAAAGACAGTACAGTGGTGTGTGTGCCCAGTTGGGACGAAGAAAAGACAGTACAGTCGTGTGTGTGCCCAGTTGAGACGAAGAAAAGACAGTACAGTCGTGTGTGTGCCCAGTTGGGACGAAGAAAGAACAGTAGTGTAGTGAGTGTGCCCTATTGGGCTGAAGAAACAGTCGCAAGTTCCACGCATCTATGTCGCTGCTCCACACCCCCCAAAAAGGTGCTGCTAAGATGGCCGATGTGAAGACGCTCGTACATCTTCGTGGCCAAGCGAAAGCCAAGGTGACCAGGATACGGAAAGCCATTGAAGAGACTTCGGAAGCTGGCGTTGTTCAATTTACCCTCGCCCAGCTAAAGGTGTATGCCAAGAATCTGGAGGCCCACTTCCAAGAGTACCTCAGTTTCCATCACCAAATCATTGCATTGCTGCCGCCGGAAAAGCTAGATCAGAACGATGATACGTACATTCAGTTTGAGACTCATCACATCGAAACCGCTACGATGGTGGAAGCCCTGATCCAGTCCGTTATACCGCAACCCACTCCTCCCGCAGTAGTGCCCATGCCTGCGCCAGGTTTCCAGCAACAGCAAATTGTTGTACAGCAGCAACCGCTTCCGGTTCCTATCCCTTCGTTTGATGGGAAGCCGGAGAATTGGCCAAGGTTCCAGCAGGTGTTTTCGGATATCATGGCCAGATCCAGGGACTCCAATGCAGTCAAGCTACACCATCTTGAGAGGGCACTTGCGGGTGGATCTGCCGCCAAGATCATCGACCCAAAAACGCTCAGTGAAGGCAATTTCATCCATGCTTGGGAGCTGCTGCTTGACGTTTACGAGGACGAACGAAAGGCAGTAGATTCGCATATCCATGGCTTGCTGAGCTTGAAACGTATGAGCAAGGAGTGCTCCAAGCAGATGAGGGAGCTCATAAACGAATTAACCCGCCACGTTGAAGGTTTAAGGCTGTTGGAGCAGAATTTGGAAGGCGTTTCCGAGCGTTTTGTTGTCGTCGTCCTATCCGATGCATTCGATCCCGAGACGCGGAAGCAGTGGGAGGCCACCATTCCCCATAAGCAGATTCCGAATTACGAAGACACCGTGACGTTTTTGAAGGAGCGATGTTCGTTGTTGGAGCGTTGTGAAGCCAGTCACCCAAGGTCGTCGTCAGCCAAGGAATGCAGTCAGAAGTCTATCCCGAAGCCCCCTACGATGAAATCGTTCGCTATGGCTACACCCGTAGCTAATAGTGATGCGAAATGTGAGATCTGCAGTGCGAGCCATCCCAACTTTAAGTGTGATAAGTTTATATCTCTGACGGTACCCCTACGCAGAGTCAAGGTAAGAGAGCTTAATCTCTGTTTTAACTGTTTGAGAAAGGGCCACCTTGCATCTAAATGCCCTTCGAGTAAATCCTGCCAGGAGTGTCAAAGCAGACACAATACGTTACTTCATGAGCCCAAAGTTTCAAAACCTGATCCAAGCCTCGTTCCAAGGTCCAACCCAGAATCCACCAAAGTTGTCGTTAATTCCCAAGTTCCTGCTCTGGTTGAAAGTGTATCGTCATTGTCCAATCCGGTTCATAAGGTTCCTCGATCGGATGGCACGCTTTTGCTTACGGCCATAATTGATGTCCTAGACAGTAATGGAAATCCCCACCCTTGCCGTGCATTCCTCGACTGTGGTTCCCAACCACATTTGGTGTCCCGTTCGTTTGTTGAATATTTGGAAATTGAACAGAAACCTACACATGTGGAAATTTTCGGAGCTACCGGTAAAAAATCGGTGCTGGACAAAAGGGTGACACTTTCGATCCGTTCTCGTTGCATGGAATTTCAGGCCCAAATAGAATGTTTGGTCACCGATGTGGTTACTGGTCCTCTCCCTGGTCGAAAACTAGATACCCGATCATGGAAAATTCCTTCAGGTTTATCCCTTGCCGATCCTACCTTCCATACACCCGGAGAAGTCGATTTGCTGATTGGTGTTAAACTGTTCTTCCACTTGATGTTACCCGGGCAGTTGATGTTGGGAAATCAGTTACCGATCCTAAGGGAAACCCGATTGGGTTGGGTTGTTGCTGGTGGTGCTGAGGGTGCAGATGAGACTCAGCATTGCTACACGGCTAGTTTGCGGCCCCTCACAGAATGCATGGAAAGGTTTTGGTCGATTGAGTCGATTGAGTCTAGTGATGCTGTGTCTAAGGAGGAGCAAGATTGTGAGCAGCTTTTCAGTTCCACTTCCGTTCGAAACCCTGATGGTACTTACACTGTCCACCTTCCGTTGAAGGAATCCGTAAGTGAGTTAGGTAATAACCGATCGTTGGCCCTAAAGCGTTTCCACATTCTGGAGCATCGATTCAGTAAGAATGCCGATTTGAAGGGTGCTTACGTTGATTTCATCAACGAGTATAAGTCGTTGTCCCATTGTAAGGAAGTTTCCGAGGTAGATGACGTCCCTGGGAAGTTGGTTCACTATTTACCTCACCATGCGGTTTTGAAACCAAGTAGTTCCACCACCCGTTTAAGAGTTGTCTTCGATGCCTCGGCTCGAACAACTGGTCCATCTCTCAATGATGTTTTGATGATCGGTCCGACGGTTCAGCCTGACATTTTTTCACTAAATCTGCGGTTCCGCAAACATCGTTTTGCATTAAAGGTTGATGTTTCAAAAATGTTTAGAAGAATCAAGGTTAATGAGGATCATTCTCCCCTTCAGAGAATTTATTGGAGGGAAAACCCTGATGACCCACTTCAGATCCTAGAGTTGACAACCGTTACATATGGGACAGCCAGTGCTCCATTCTTGGCCACCCGAACATTGTTGCAGTTAGCCCGTGATGAATCCCACCATTTTCCAACAGCTTCCAAGGTTTTAGAAGAGGATGTTTATATGGATGACGTGGTATCAGGAGCTGACACCATTGAGCAGGCCATTGCTCTTCGTGTGGAGTTGACAAATTTGTTGAACTCTGGAGGTTTCCCAGTCCACAAGTGGTGTGCGAGTGATCCAGCCATTCTCGACACAGTTCCTGATGAAGATCGTGAGAAATTCATGGAGTTAGTGGATTCAGATTTCAACAAGGTCATCAAAACCCTGGGTCTATTATGGGATCCAGATGAGGATATTTTTCGTTATCATTGTGAACTGAAGTTACAGTCTCCGCCCATCACAACCAAACGTATCGTCCTCTCTGAGATTGCTAGGATATTTGATCCATTGGGGCTAATTGCTCCAGTAATCGTTTTGGCAAAGGAGATTATGCAGTGTTTATGGAAGGATGGTTTGGGTTGGGACGACTCGTTGGAAGGTGATGTTTTGCAATCTTGGCTTACATTTAGAGATTCGTTGAAGTACATTGATATGATCAAAATTCCCCGCTACGTTGGATTGGTAGATGTCAGACGCGTCGAAATACATGGGTTCGCTGACGCTTCCAATCGTGCTTACGGAGCAGTCGTTTATCTGAGAGTGGTTTCTGCTAACGAGGTCAAGGTTTCGCTGCTCTGCAGTAAATCAAGGATTGCTCCCCTGAAACCTTTGACAATTCCCAAAATGGAATTATGTGCCGCCTTATTGTTGTCCAGACTGGTCCCCAAGTGCGTCTCGTCTTTGAAGATTGACATTCAGCGTATCTGCTTGTGGTCCGACAGTCGTATTGTGCTTGCTTGGTTGAAGAAGTCTGCCAGTCAGCTCGAAGTGTTTGTCCGCAATCGCGTGACGGAAATCAATTCAAACACCGACGGATGTTACTGGTCATACATCCGTTCTGAAGACAACCCAGCCGATGTTGTGTCCAGAGGACAGTTTCCACAGGTTCTAGCGATTAATAGTTTGTGGTGGAGTGGACCGTCCTTTTTGAAATTACACCAGTATGAAGTCACCGTTCCTGATTCGTTACCAGAATCAGAATTACCAGATGTTATTTCGGTTATAACTGCTGCCTCTGTTCCGGTTGTTCAGCAAGACGTTCCTTTTCTTGAAGCTTTCGGTTCATTCCGAAAATTGCAGAGGGTTGTTGGGTATGTCTTACGTTTTGTGAACAACTGCAGATGCAGCCGAGCGGACCGTTTGTGTAATAAAAATTTGACCATACCCCAATTACGTAAATCGATGACTGTTATTATTGGATTGGTTCAACGTCTGGAATGGTCGGATGAAATTAATCTGATTTCGTGTGGAAAGCCTAGTCGTCATCTAGCAACGCTAGATCCAGTGTTGGTGGATGGCCTGTTGAGAGTAGGTGGTAGATTAGAGAATTCTCGCCTGCCTTATGATGCTCGACACCAATTATTGCTTCCGAATAAGAGCCCTGTTTGTGAACAGCTTATTCGTGATATGCATTTGGAAAATCTTCATCTTGGACCCTCCGGATTGATGTCACTTCTGCGACAGAGGTTCTGGTTGATTAACGCCAAATCAACCATTCGTAAGGTATTGAGAAAATGTGTTACCTGTTTTCGATCTCGCCCTCGTTGTTTACAGCCCATGATGGGTCGTTTGCCCGAAGCTCGTGTCGTTCCTTCCGCTCCATTTTCTCGCACCGGTGTGGACTTTGCCGGGCCGGTATTCATAAAGGTTGGTCTTCGGAAGTCCGTGCGAGTAAAGGCCTACATTTGTATTTTTGTGTGTCTCGCTACCAAGGCCATTCACTTAGAATTAGTTTCTGATCTCTCGTCCGCGGCTTTTGTAGCAGCTCTCCTCCGATTTATTAGCCGTCGTGGTCTGGTAGAGGAAATTCACTCTGACCACGGCACAAACTTTGCTGGAGCAAGGTCGGATCTTCACGATCTTTATTTAATGTTCCGGGATGATCAGGTCAAAGGAAGGATTGATGAATTCTGTAGCGCTCGAGAAATCGTCTGGAAATTCATACCACCTCGGTCTCCGAATTTTGGGGGATTGTGGGAGGCTGGTGTGAAGAGTACAAAAACCCACTTACGTAAGATTTTGTCCAATGCCTGTCTCACCTTTGAAGAATTCTACACTGTCCTTACACAAATTGAGGCAGTGCTTAATTCGCGGCCTCTCTTCGCCAACTCGTTGGATACCCATGAACCATCTGCCTTGACACCTGGCCATTTTCTTATTGGCAGAGAGTTGGTCGCTATTCCAGAACCTACGCTTGAAGAAATCCCTACAAATCGTTTAAACCGTTGGAAGTATTTGCAAGCTCTCCGGGAGCATTTTTGGAGACGTTGGTCAAACGAGTACCTAAATACCTTGCAAGCTCGTTCAACATGGATCAAAGGTTCTTCGAACGTAGTTCCCGGGCTAATTGTCCTTATTAAGGAGGACAACCTTCCTCCACAATCATGGAAACTGGGCAAGATTTTGAAGGTTTATCCTGGCAGTGATTCAATAGTTAGGGTAGTAGACGTCAAGACATCTACTGGAGTATACCGTCGCTCAGTCTCAAGGCTAGCACCACTTCCAATTGAAGAAAATGATAAAGCTCTCGCACCTGCAGATCCACATCGCAACCCGGGGGGAGAATGTTCGGTTCCGAACGTTTGAATTTGCGTTAATATGTCCATTTTGTCCCTATCTTCCCTTACATTCCAAACGAAAAGTTGAATCTTTTTGCCCATCTAGAACCCCTCGTCTTTCCCGTTGTCAGTGTCCAATCCATATTTTTGTTTGTGCCTCTTTCGACATTCCCATGTAAATAGGCGGAGCCTATTCTGTATAATCCTCACGCACGACAGAGAAGGTGTTAGTATATAAGTGAACGTCAAAGGGCGCAGTATTATTAGTAGTATTTTAGTCGTCTTACGATAAAAGTCAAGAAAATAAACATTGTTACACAGAGAAGCCGAATTTTTCATTTCTCCACTAAAGGGAGCATCATTCCGATACTATCCACTGCGGAACTGAAGCATCTGATCGCTGCTGTTGCTGAACCTGTTGCCGAATAGTCCACCCGTCCCGTTGCTCATCGGAGCAGCACCCAAGGAAGCAATTAGTGTTGATTCCTTCGATTCGGTCCACAAATAGATCCCTCCCGTGGTAGTCTAATGTGGATACCGTTTTGACTGCACACGGATCACCTATTGCTTAACTGTAATCAAATACCCGCTGCTGGAGCACCAACTAGAGAATCCAACAATCTCTGGCCTGTTGGTTGTTATCCAGTGGCAATTTTTGATTATTCCCCGAAGGGAGTTCCATTCCGGAGATTTTTACGTTGTGCACCGCACAATGCGTCTTCTTATTTCTCTGCTTGTATAATTTTCGGTGGTCACCAGTGAACCCAAATACACAAACTCATCGACCACCTCGATTTCGTCACCGTCAATCTTAACTCGGGGTGGGAAACTAACATTGTCCTCCATAGAACC